TAGACCAATGGAACAGAATTGAGAATCCAGACATAAATTCATCCACCTATGAGCAGCTGATATTTGACAAAGTCCGTTAATTGGGGAAAAGACAGTCTCTTTAACAAATGGTGCTGGCATAACCAGATATCCATGTGCAAAAAAATGAAACAAGACCCATACCTCTCACCATGCACAAAAACTAACTCAAAATGGATCCAACACCTAAATACAAAATCTAAAATGATAAAAATCAAGGAAGAAAAAATAGGGACAACGCTAGGAGCCCTAACACATGGCATAAACAGAATAAAAACCATAAGTAACCATGCACAAGCACCAGAAGAGAGACTAGATAACTGGGAGCTCCTAAAAATCACTTACATTTATCAAAACACTTCACCAAAAGAGTAAAAAGACAACCTACAGACTGGGAAAAAATTTTTGGCTATGACAAATCTGATCAGCGTCTAATCTCTAAAATCAACAGGATACTGCAAAACCTCAACAACAAAAAGACAAATAACCCAATTGAAAAATGGGCAAAGGATATGAACAGGCACTTCACCAAAGAAGACATTCAGGCGGCTAAAAGACACATGAGGAAATGCTCATGATCATTAGCCATTAGAGAGATGCAGATAAAAACTACAATGAGCTATCATCTCATCCCAACAAGGCTAGCATTAATCGAAAAAATACAAAATGATAAATGTTGGAGAGGTTGTGGAGAGACTGGAACACTTATACACTGTTGGTGGGAATATAAAATAGTACAATAACTTTGGAAATCAATTTGGCGCTTCCTTAAAAAGCAAGAAATAGAAGTACCGTATGATCCAGCAATCCCACTCCTTGAAATATATCCTAGAGAAATAAGAGCCATCACATGAACAGATATATGCACAGCCATGTTCACTGCAGCACTGTTCCCGATAGCAAAAAGATGGCAACAACCTAGGTGCCCCTCAATGGATGAATGGATAAACAAATTATGGTATATTCACACAATGGAATACTATGTAATGATAAAGAACAATGATGAATCTGTGAAACATAACATGGAGGAAGCTGGAGGTCATTATGCTGAGTGAATTTAGTCAGTCACAGAAGGACAAATATTGTATAAGACCACTATTATAAGAACTCAAGAATAGGTTTAAATATGCAAGTCTTTGCAGTAAACCATTCTTCGATTGTTACAAGGGTGGGGAGGGCAGGAGAGGGGAGGTATACCAGGATTTCAGCTGGTTCCAGGTCAGTTAAAGCCCTCCTAAGGAGAACACAACAGAGAGTCCCTGATGGAGCAGCAGAAAGATGGGGTGCAGAACTCAAATTCCAGTAAGACCAGACTTAATGGTCTGACTGAGACTGGAGGAACCCCGGAAATCACGGCCCCCAGACTCTCTGTCAGCCCAGAACTAAAACAATTTCCAAGGCCAACTCTTCAGACGACTGTACTGGACTGTGGGACATAAAATGATACTCATGAAGAGTGTGCTTCTTAGCTCAAGCAGACACATGAGACAGAATGGGCAGCTCCTGTCCAGAGATGAGATGAGAAGGCAGACAGGGTCAGGAGCTGGTTGAATGGTCACAAGAAATCAGGGGTGGAAACGAGGATTGTGCTGTCACAGTATGGGGAGAGTAACTAGGGTCACATAACAATGTGTGCAAACATTTTTGTATTAGAAACTAACCTGAATTGTAAACTTTCACTTAAAACACAATAAAAAAAAAGAAATGTGACATTAAGAGTAAACACAAATGAATTGGTGACTAAGAACAAACGAAACAATGTTAAAAAGCTAAAACAGGTTTTGTTTTGTTTTTTAAATAGAAACAAGAACAAATCTCCAAATGCCTGACTGTTATGGAAATTACACCGCAGTACCTATTTTTTAACTATTGTTTCTACTGCAAAGACTCACACACACTGATTGGTGCTTTTCTCAGGTCATTTCAGGGTTTTATACGATTATGATGTATCATTGGTTGTTACAATGCACTTTATCTCCTACAACCTCATTATTCACTTGCATAACTGCTAAAAGAAACTATGGCCTGAGTACCTATTTACATGTTGCTTTAACAGAACATTTAACAATAAGTAGTTGTAAAGATACTATCCTAGTTCATGCATACACATAAACTCCAAAACTGAGCAGGACAAAGTCATTAAACTATGTACTCACGCAATAATATTACTAACATCTACGGAAAGACTGCCATATAATAGACAAAATCTTTCTATGAATTTTAAAATGGTCCTGTAGATGTTTTCCAGTTATTTATCAACATGATGAAAAGATTTCCACGGGTTGCTGTTTTACGCAGCACCATTCGGACAACATGGAGCACACGTACAACGCACACTGCAACCGTGCAGAACAGCCACAGTGAACAGGCTGCTCCCCAGAAGCCAGATCCCTCTGGGCTATGATATAGAGAGTGAGGGGCTTACTTTGAAGAAGGCCTCCATAAGCGTCTGATCGGGGTGCAGGTCCCTCCACTTGAGCTTCCGGTACGCACTATGGAATGCAAACAGAATGAACTCTGGCATTTTGGGCGCTGTACAGGCTTCACAATAATGCATCAGGTGTAATCGAAGGGCTCCTTTGTCACTGGGCAGCAGCTTATCTAAAATTTAAAGAAAATACAGCTGAAGACCTTTGGGGTTATCTTTAACACACACACATGCAACAACAAAAACTAATACAAAACACAAATTTGAACTAAAAGTGTAAAAGCTAAGGATCTTAATGTTTACCCAATTTCAAAGCTTTTCAGATTAATAAGAAAGATTATAAGAAAAAATGGTACTTACAGGGGCAACTGGAATGAGCATTTGGTGTGTAGGAGATGGTAGGAATGATCTGTTTTTCTTCAAAACATCTAACTATATGGCTTTTTAACTCAAACACACTCTACAGCACCAATCAATTCTAGGCATGTCTTTAGTCTGCTACCCTCAATTAGCACTTCATTTGGCACCATGGATGACCCAATATTCCTCAAATGGAAATATTCCAAATGACTAAAACTGAACCCCTCATGCAATTAAACTAGACTATTAACTGTCATTCATGTAAATCATCCTAAAATGAATTTCACATTCTTTTGCAATCTTGATCACACAGTACCATCCTCAACCAGTATCAATTACTTTAATGTTCTCAAGGGCTAGTGGCTATATATAATGAGTAGTCTAAAACACATGGTGTCAGACTTTCTGGTTCTATGGGAAGGAATTGAACACGGTCAAAGAAGAGAGAGCTGCACGGAAAGAGAACAGAAGCCTGAAGGGTTTCTCAACACTGATCTTTTGAAAAATGGCCAATGAACACCACTGCATGGTAGCAGCCAGTTTATCATTTCTAATATTCCTGTGCCCTCAATTCCCAGACTCTTACTTTATTCTACAGCATGGAACATACACATGGAACATTAACGTATGTTTTTACCAACCTTTTAAGACAGGGGTAAAGAGTAGCGTTTGTTGAACTATAGATAAAGGAAGAGTTTTGTTTAGATAAAGACGGATAAGTAAATACAAGACATCTACAAGGTAATCTCTTAGGGCAAGACTGAGCTTCTAGTCCAGTCCAGAAACAAATAAGCTCTGCGACCTCAGATGCTTTTCAGGTCCTCATTTTTCTAATCAATGAAGAGAGCTGGATCAAATGCTTTCACTAAAGAGCAACAATTTAATAATTCATTCTGCTCTGTACTGTCCTTCTGTTTCCTGTCTCTGAACTCAGCTACCAATTCTTGACATTTTCAGTGTACCCTACTGTTCCTAAGCCATTGTTTTATATTATGTACACAGTCAAAAGCCTGAGGGTGCTTGCCCTAATACTAAGACATCAAATATATATAGCCTTTGTGACTATAATTTGATGTTCAAAGATTTTTCTTACTGATCAATATATTCTGGATGCAAAGAGCAGCTAGAAGTCTACCTTTCAAAAAAGTGGGTACTCTTAAGATTTCACATGTTACTCACTGAACCAACATTTATCAAACACTGAGAATACAGCACTGTCCTAGGTCTTGTGGGGGATAAAAAGAGGTGAAAGATAACATTTTTTTCTCTGAAGAATTTACACCTTATTCTTGGGCAAATAAATAAGATCAGGCATGAAAAGGGTCAACCAAGGATACTGGACGATAAACTGTTAACTCTATGGCTAAATGCCACATAAACATGGCAGCCATGGATGTGTACCACTTGGATCTCCCGCCCTTCAAACAGAACTTGCTGATCCTGCTGCAGCATCTGAGTTGAGGCTACATTCTCCCAGGAAGCCCTCAGCAAACAACGAGGCACAGGCCGCCCATTCCTGCCCAACACAGGCACTTCTCCGCAGGAATCTTTGCACTGGAACTCCCCACTGGGCTGGGTGGTACTTTCTTAGAGCTGCATGGTTGTCTGAAGCTCTTCTCTTCCTCTCTCCTCTCCTTTCACAGGCTGTCAGACCTGCACTGAGGTCTGACAGCTTCTTTGCCTACTTCTCCCCCAATGACCCCATCTTTATAGGCATTACCCCAGATAAATCTCTGGCATTCTAACTCCATACTGACATCTGCTTCCCAGGGACCCAAACTGCAACAATGTACTATGAAGATTCAAAGATCCAAAGGCAGGAGAGAAATACATGAGCAAAAACAGATATGCAGGAGAATATAGAGTCTGAGGCTTCATCCAGGTAGTGGACTCAGCATGAGCAAGTCAGTGGTAGAGGAAAAGTTCAAGGATTTTTGGAGGACAATGAGTTAAGGCAATAAGGCTGTTGTGGAAATCGTCAAGAAATTCATCACCATAATGTTTCTAAACTGCACTAGGGCCAGATATCTTTAAATACTGAATAAAAACATATGAATAGGAATACGGCATAAATAGTATTTAGGAAAATTAATCTAGTAAGTATATTCAATATTCCTTGCCATCACCACAATTCAAAGGCATCAATTCTTTGGTCTTCCTTATTCATAATCCAGCTTTCACATGCATATGAGGCGACTGAAAACACCATGGCTTGGGTCATGGAATGCCAAAAGAATGAACAAATCTGTCTTGGAAGAAGTACAACCAGAATGCTCCTTAGAAGCAAGGATGGCGAGACTACATGTCACTTACTTTGGACATGATATCAGGAGGGATCAGTCCCTGGAGAAGGACATTATGCTTGGCAAAGTAGAGGGTCAGCGAAAAAGAGTAAGACCCCCAACAAGATGGACTGACACGGAGGCTGCCAACAATGGACTCAAGCATAACAACAACTGTGATGATGGCGCAGGACCTGGCAGTGTTTTGTTCTGTTGTACACAGGGTCACTATGAGTAGGAACTGACTCGACAGCACCTAACAACAACAACAACAACAACCTAGTAAGTAGGCAGAATGATTTGAAGGACTAGAAACCAGAGACAGGAAAAATAGTTAGAAGGCTACCGAAGAATTTGGGTAGGTGGGTTTAATATTCTTATAAATCTCTCAACATAAAGCATTAGACACTAGGTAAAATAGGGCATCTCTGAAAATGCATAGATAGTACACTAATCAGGAGAAAACACCAGAAGCCAGAAGCAAAGAGAGACTAGGAAACCAGAGTGTTAAACTCTTGCTGAAGCTACAGCTGCCCTAAAGTATATTTGCTTATGTCAGGTTTTAACAACACAGGTAGATAAGACTGTCTAAGGAATATGCCCTCACTGAAAGGGTACATTAGGGGAAAAAGGGGAACTTCTCTATCTTAGCCTGGACTTTGAGTCAGAGTAGGAAAAAAAGTTTATTGTGAGAATTCAGGCCTGCCTGCAAGTGAGTCTGGGTTTTGATTTCATAGAACTGTGTGGTTTGTGGAAACCCCAAGGCAAGAAATTAAATAATTCCATTTGGCAACAAATGCAAATCCTCTCTGGAGGTACACATCCTCATCACAGGCTTTACAGAACTTGCATAGACAAAGTCTCTCTAAACATGGACTCATACTACAAAATTATAAAACACACAAGGAAAGAAGCCTCCAAAAACGAGAGTCTGAAGGAACAACAAAAACAGCAAACAAGCCACACTCTAATAAGAACTTCGTATAATGGAATTATTGGATATAGGTCATAAAGTAAGCATGTTTAAACAATTTAAAGAAATAAAAATCAGAATTCTAAACAAAACTAAGAAATGAGATAATACCAAAAAATATCAGAGTAGATTTGAAAAACAAACAACTTTTAGAAATGGAAAACATAATCACTGAAATGAAAAATTCAATGGATGTATTTTTAAGCAGATTAGACATAGCTGGAGAGAGACTGAGTAAACTGAGAGTAAGATCTGAATGAATTATCCAGAATGAAGCACAAAAAGACAGAAAATATGAAAAAGAGATTAAGAGTCATGGAGGACACAATGAGGTTCAACATGGGGGATAGGCAATACAGAGAATGGCTATAAATTTTTCATAACTGATGAAACTCAGAGCTAACTCACAAAAAAGATGAGAAGTTATAAACTTTAAAATGTATTATTGATCTTTCCTCTGTCACAAATAATTGCATACCAGCTAAAATAATATTAAATAAAGTAGGAAAGCGGAAGCAAAAGTCTAGCTGAATGACTTAGGGAAAAAGTGAAAAATAAACAGAAATATAATGTAACATCTTCCTACCTTTAAAACTCTCATGTAATGAGCCAATAGAGTCAGTGAATAATTGCACTATACTTGAGGCCACCACAGTGTCACTCTCCAACCAGGGGTAATGTCGCTGATTGCTATAAAGAAACAAAACATACAGATGAAAAAAAAAACGAGATGAAAGCACCATCTTTTAAATTACTCTGAAGGTCCCAGAGTCTAGGGTGTGTCTTAGTCCTAGAAAACCCTGCATTCTGTACCTCTAACATACATTTAGACCACCACCTCAAACGCTATAAATTCCTGGAGGTGAACTGTGGCTTGTAACACCAACCATGTAATTTTATTTACTTTCCCTCCTACTTCTTTTTCCCAATGCAATTAAGTTTTAGAAGTTTGCTATTTAAAAACACTATTAAATTAACATCTTTTTACATCTAATTTACACCCTTGAGCCCATCTCTTGTGCATCTTAGTTATATGAAAAATGCCCTAGGAAAACACTGTAAGGTGGCTTCAACCGTTTTCTCTACCCAAAGTATGGGAAGAAAATCAAATTCACGTAACAAAATGATGGCCAAAAATTAACAGAAAGAAACTAGCCAAAGAAAAGAATTCTTTATATGAAAATTTTAATTTCTGAATCTAGTCCTGAAAACTCAGTATCAAAATAAATTCCATTAATTCTTCCTTGAAATAAATGGGCAGGCTTCACTGTGATCAGCCGTCTATATATAGTCACTATAAAATCCCAAAGCTTGAAGATTGTTTAAGGATAGCCATCTAGCAAAAGCAAAGATCCAGAACCTTTTATGTTTTTGGCAAGGAGCTCTTGAAGCAGCACAGGTTAATGCAAAGAGTCCTGACACAAGAGTCAAAAGACCTGAGCCCTCCTCCCGGTTCTGGCACTAATGGACTGTGGCCCTTGAGAAAGTTCTCTGAGTCTCGGGATCAAATTAATTAACGTTTGTAAAAACACCTTAAAAACTGTGATGTTTACTAAACACTGTTGTAATTTTTATAAAACCCTTGGCAAGTTCACCTAGCTTCTGACTTAATACTTACAGGAGAAAAAAAGATGCACAAGGCAACTCACTGCATACGGATAGCTCCACACGTCTAAATATTTAAAAGTTCATGAAAGAATGCTTTCATTTAATTCTAGAGTTCCATGTTAACAGGGTAACTCCCACCCAGTAATTTTACAGCCAACTTGTTGCAAAAAATAACTTAGGCAGTGGAGAAAATAAAGTCAGCTTCACATTTTATAGTGTTATAGTATCAAAACCCAGCCATTTTTTTCTGAAATAAGGCACCAAAACTCATTCAACTTCTTTACTCTAAAAAACTAGAAATAGTTTTATTTCAGAATTAGTATCCAGACAACAGCTCTGATCATACTATGCTAATACTTTCACAAGTAAAAATATCTTGACTCATAAAGAAGCATTTTCTGAATTTAAATATGGCCCTACACTTAAAATTAAATCTGTGAGCTCATCACCTCTACCAAAACACCTTTAGAACTTTAAGTCTGTAAATTTCAAAGGAATTCGAATAGCTAAAAAACTATTTACCTTTCACTGTCCTCTAAGACCAGGATCCATGGCTTAAAGAGCTGGATGATCACTGAATGTAGCGATCTCAGCACTAAAACAACACAAAATTTTTAGAGGCAAGAAACAAGCTCAACCTTTGTCAACATCATTGATAACATTATATAGAAAATCTACCTTTTATCTGTAGGCTCATAAACCTATGTTGATATACAAACGATACGCTTAGTAAACTGTGTTTTCATTTGCTGCAACTGAATTTCTCCGAAGTGAAGAATTTTTATTACAACACAATGTCATGAAGAATTTTATAAGTACATTTTTTCAAAATAAACGCTTAAATATCCAGAACCCCTTCCTTAGAGAAAGAAATAAAAGGAAGAAAGAGCTGAAGATTGAAACCTATTGCTTTGTACTATACATCTTACAAAGAAGGGGAATTGACAAGCTGTAGCAAGCATCCACTATATAAGTGAATACAGGCATGACACATATATGGGTTCATACCTGTAATATAAATTTTCTTCCTCCTGACATTCAGATATCTAGTTTGATCACAGAGACTTAAATCTCTTAATGTATCTATGCAAATATCTTCTAATGGATGGTGAGAATGTCTAGTCCACGTTACACTAAAAGTATATTACCTGTTTTGCTGCTTGCAGATGGGTCTTGGGCCAAGCATGCCATTTCAGAGTCAATCAGCCTTGTTACAAGATAGCCCAACAGTGTCTTCACATCAGCCATGTAAGGACTCCATTTTGAGAATAAGCCAAAGCTCTTAAAGTCCAACTTGGATAACCGAAGCTTATAAAAAAAGTTTGAGAGCCACTGTATAGTCTCCATTACCTGGAAGAGAATGATGAGTCAAAACATGCTTACGAATGAATGTCTACTTTCAGCAGAGTATTATGATAGACTTTGATTTTATAAAAGAGTTGCAAAGCTATATGTCATATGAAAATAAATAGCAGGTTTCAAACTCTTTCTAAAGCAGTGTAACCACTATTTCAAATAAATTCTCATGTGGATCTGTATTGGATAAAACTGAAAAAACCAAGAGCTCTGTGAGACACTGCATGAAAACCCAATCAAGGGAGCTAATGGTCTCAGGGTTAAGAGTCAGATGGGCTATGGTGGGGAGGGAAGGTTTACACAGGGGGAGGGCCTGGGCTGGTCTTGGACAGATGCGTAAGAATCAGACTCAGAATGTGAGAGAAAGGCGATCCATGTGAAGGGGGCATGGGAAAGCAAAGGACTTACTAGAAACATAAAGATCTTAAAGATAATGCAAAAAAAAGCAGATGTTTAGATATAAATTTTAAATGTGTTCCAATTATTTAATAAATAGCAAAGGAACTGGAAAAGAAATGCACAGACAAAAACTTCACAGATCAAAAGCTAACACACCTGCTTGTCTGACAAGAGAACATCTGGAGAGCTTTGAAGCACCGAGCTCTCGGCCAAAGCTGCCCCCTGCTGGCAGGCAGGGGCACAGCAGCCTAGGGCTCTCAGAGTGGCTTTCCAACACTCAGGGCTCAGTAGCTGCTCAGCAGAGCCTTAGGGGGCAGACAGAGAAAAGCAAGTCAGCGTCTTTCTTGAATTAACTTTTTCACCTTGAATCAAAGAACACGTATACTTTACACAGAAGTAGAAATTAAATAAAAACCCAAAACAAATTCATAAAGATACCTGTGGTGGAGAAACCAAAGAAAAAGGGCCCATTAAACAACTGACAACCTGGACATTTGACTTTCCTTGTCCCTAGTAACCCTGGTTGGAGTGAGCTGGAACCTGGGAGAGAAATTCTACCCACCTGGCCCTAACTGGGGAATGGCAAAGAGGCTATTTTCCAGGCTAGAAAACAATGGCTTTCTATGACTATGAGAGAAACAACAGTGACAGGAAAAGGGACATTGCATGCAGAATGCAACTCCAGAGTACAGACGCTCTCCGGAAGGAGTCTCGTACTTATCCCTAAAACTCCACTCCTACAACCAGCAAAATGGGGCCAGTGGTGGTTCAGTGGTAGAATTCTTGCCTTCCTTGCAGGATACCCAGGTTTAATTCCTGCTCAATGGATCTCATGTACAGCCACCACCTATCTGTCAGTGGAGGCATGAATGTTGCTATGATGCTGAACAGGTTTCAGTGGAGGTTCCAGACTAAGATGGACTAGGAAGAAAGGCCTGGTGATCTACTTCCAAAAATCAGCCAATGAAAACTCTATGGATCACAATGGTCCAACCTGCAACAAGTCATGGGGATGGTCCAGGACTGAGCAGTGTCTCATTTTGTTGTACATGGGGTCACAATGAATTGGGGGTCAAATCAGCAGCAGCTACCACCACTACCACCACACTGGCCAAAACCTAAATAAAGATACAGAGATAGCATGGAAAAGTAGATACTACCAGCCAGTAGTCATAACTCTGCTACTCAAAAATGTCACATCCCAGGACAGCCCCATAAAACCAAATGGGACTAATGAGGTACAGCAGTCCAGGAACAAGGGCCAGAAGGCAGAAGGGGACAAGAAAGCTGGTGATAGGGAACCCAAGGTTGAGTAAGGATAGTGTTGATGTGTTGTGAGGTTGTTAACCATTGTCATAGGGCAACATGTGT